TGTTCCGAGCGACGAGGCGACCCGGGCGGCGGAGTGATGCGCTCACCGGAAGTTCATCTTCTCGCAGATGGTGGCGGCCTTCTCCATGCTCAGCTCGTGGCTGGGCGTAAGCAGGAAGGCGCCCTTCGTGAGGAAGTCAGTCTCGCTGACGTCCGAGTCGGTGTCGGCGTGATCCTGCCAGTCGGCGGAGCCGCGAATCAGGCCCTCCTGATTCAGGCGCAGCATCGAGCTGTTCTTGGACGTCGACATGTCTTTCTCGCACTGCGGCGTACTGCCGCTCTGTTCCGACTGCGACATCTTTTATAGATAGCCGGTTGCCAGCGAACCGAGAACGGGTGATCTCACATCGGTTATGCCCGCTTCTCGAGAGGGAACGGCCCCTGCTACGCACGATCCCCCATACACGATACACATGCGTAATAATAACGAGTGTTACGTGTTACGCTTGCGAGATCGACCGATCGATCGATCGATCGCTCGAGAGGATGTCACGGAGAACGCGATACCGGACGTACCACACGTGCCACACTGCCCCATGTTCCGTTCTACCGCGGTGCTTTTATACGGCGGTATGCCTCCATGAGTCGTCTCCGCCGATGATGGGGACGGATGGACGGATAGGCGAGCTAAGATCGGCGGTCGGAAAATTGCACGGCAAAAAGTGCCCCCGAGCGAGCTCGGCCCGATGCGCCTAGTTAAGCCCTTGATTGATATTGATCACGCGCGAAAAGGATCCGATCCGCTGGTAGTTCAATTGGTTGGTACAAATAAGCGCGTAGGAGAGGAAATGTGAGATACTTGGATATGGATTATTACTCATGCTAATGATCAGGGCCGCTTGATACTGAAAATTATATATACCGCGCCGCTTTCAATCCACCCACAAACGTCAGGCGATGTGTTCATTGTCTACGTGTTCGTGTGCTTTTAGCGTATACCTTTTTACATCCGATATGTAAAAGACGTTCTGTGTAAGCGAGAACAAAGGGCGCGAGACCTGCTCTTTTCTGACCCAGTTATATTTTTTTGAAGTAATTGTTTCCCTCGAATAAAAAAGGTACCAGATAGTTCTATCAGAAAGAGAGATGAGAGAAGGAGGGAGAGGGGGGGAGAGAGAGAGAGAGAGAGAAAGAGAGAGCAAGGAGAACTTAATATATTAGCTTTGTATAATTTTAATCTGCTTAACATAACACATGATAACACATAATATTTAAATTTTTAATATTTTCTACATTGAATTTTTTTCGAAATGTCTACACACATCTTGTACTCATTGTTTTATCTGAAGCAGTATTCGTGTAAATATTTAAACGTTACTACGCTCACAAGTGCCTCGTAGGAAACTTCATTTAAATTCAATTCAAATGTCTTCCGCTTTCGGGAACTGTATTTGTGAGAATAATTTAGTACGAAGCTGTACCAATTTGTTATCGTTAGACTGTCAAAGAAGATACTTTAAAATGAAAATCTGATAAGAAAATATTAATATTAAAATCGTAAATAATAAGACTCAAAATTTAATTTGATCGTTGTTTGTTTGTTTGTTTGTTTGTTTTTTTTTTTTTAGATAATGATGTTGCATTTATTAATACTCTCAATAGATTTTGCATTAATTTATTTATAAGCAATATTAAAATGTATAATTATCAAGTAATGTATAATTATCAAATAAATGTATAATTATTAAATAATTTCATTAGATTATTTAATAAAATTTTATGTTGGTTATTATTAAGTCAATTAGTGTTATTAATTATTTTATTAATATTTTTGTTGCAGTTTTCGTAAATTAACGTCGGAGGCGACCACAACATCAAAAGCAACTGCATTATCATTTAAAAGGTAAGCTTAATAAATTGTACCTTTAGTAGTGCAGTCAAATTACATAGAATTTATTTTTGGCACTTTGGGCACTTCGAGCCAAAAATATGTGCAATATTATATAAAATTTTAATATACGCATATTAAACAAAGCATGAGAAATCAAGGAGATTCTGATAGTTCTTTTCCGCGCTTTTCTACAAATAGTATTATTTTAATCAAGTCAGTAAACCACGCATCTCCACGTTGAATGACAAAGACAAACAATCGCGCGCGCGCGCGCGCGCGTATATATCATCCTCTTATCATCGTTCGAGATCTCTAAAAGACGTCAACTGCGGGTCGCCGCCTCGTTCTCGCGGTCGTCAAACCCTTCGGCGTGCCCGATTACGAGACGAATCGGTGGTGCCATCGGCGACATCGTCAAAGCCAGCGATTGCCGACGAACGACGAAATCTCGATTGAAATCTCCTGTAAATTGTCGGGTGTGCGTTGTCGGCGATCGCCCAAACGACGAAATCTCGATTCAAATCTTCTAACTGCCGGCTGTGTTGGGCGACGCGACGACACGGCGATCGCGACACGCGGAGAGATGTTCGTGTTCGCTGCTGATAATCCGGAGGGCCCGGAGAACGGACGCGGATGCTGCGGCGGCCGCACCGTGCGTGTTCAGCGAGACGCGTTATGCGGAATATCGCGGAACATCCGCGTTCACGTCGCCGATGGCAAGAACGACGAGGTTGTACCTCGACCCCGGTGAGGCGAGAGCTCGCCGATAATTCACCTAGGCTAGGTTGACAGTTCCGCGGCGATACTTCATCGTCAATAATCTGCGGGGCGCATCATCAACGTCCGGGCGACGCACGTCGAACACGTGGGCGGCCCGTCGACGCCGCTTTTTGCCCGCCTCTCTTTCCAGCAAAGACGCGAGCGAGCGATGAATCGCCAATTCGCGTGGGCATTTAATTGGATGATTGGCCGAAACGATACGTCCTCGATAAATTGGCCCGCGAAATAGGGGGGAAAAAAAAAACAAAGGAGGAAACGGGAGTTTTTGCCCTGGGCGTTATGGTCAAAAGTTGTTATTAAAGGCGATGAGGCGTTACGTATTATAAAAATGTGAAAAAAACGTGAAGGACGGGCGTGTGGTACGATCGGTTTGATCAATCTACGGCTTTATTTCTTTCTCCTTGGCCGTTTCAAGCTAATTAATTGGACTTTGGCGTATGATTTTTTTTCCTTTTAATTCATATTAACGACTTAAATTTCTAGACACTCTGGTAAAAATTTGTTACAAATGTTTTTATGATGAACTAAATATTTGGTCTTTCAATATAAAGAGTTAAATGAAATATGTAATATGATTATTATAATTTTATTAGTATACATACCTTTTACAAAAATATTACGAAATAAATATGTTTAAAAGTTATATTTTTGTAATTATCTTTGAAGAAAAGTACGAGCAAACCTGAAATTAAACATTAAATTTATTAAATAGATTTTACAATTTACGCGGGAATAATTTTGGGATCGATAGCGTATGTCATTAATCAATCATTATCGAGGTATGATCCGTAGCCGGAGGCGATAATTGTCAAGCCTGTCGAAACCGCAGTGATCAAAGAAACGTCAACAGCACAGTTCGTTCGCAAACATCGGATACAAAAGAAAATATCGTAGCGTGCGTCACGTGGCAGACTAACGAAATACAAAGCGTACCAAAAGTCAAAGCTTTCGAAAAAAAATTAATAAATAAATAAATACGAGCTATAATTGGTACAAAAGCCACGTGTTGAGACGCCGATAGCGAAATAGAATAAGATTTTATTTTAATGTTTTCTTTTTCACGATTAGTTTTCATTTATCTATCGATGGAGCTCCGTAGGAGCTGTTTTATGATTATTAAGAGACGCCGTTGCGTTAAAATTAATCGTTATTTATAGTCACTTATTTATACGCCATTGAGCCGTTTCGTCTTAAAGCTTATCGATCGTCGGGAGATTAACTATCGGAGCATAAAAAAGGCACTTTCACAGGGTCTAATGAGAGTAATGGAGTCTTGTAGCTCAAGAACGCTTTTCTTCTGGATGGATACGCCCGAAGCGTCGCCTTCGCAAAAGTATTGGAGGACCTCCTCTCTCCGTCCTTACTTTGGCCAAGGAAGAGCGAAAGCGCAATGGAGGATGAAGGATCCAGTTACTTATGTCGTTACTCGAAGTTGAAAAAAAATCCATGTCGCGAAATTGTCTCTTATGGTGTTGAACGTTGAGCATCTGCTTAATTTCCCACCGTTTCTCCCCCGCCCCTCGGCGAAACTTTCTTCGTAAGGACTCTCGCCCTCGCATCCAAAACTCCTTAAACTTCGCTCTACTGTCCGCTCTACTTTAGTTATGCTTCTCGTCTTATTGCAGGTGCACGATTTCGTGTCTTCGCGCAAATGCGCTGCACCTAATTTAAATTAAATATGCCTAATTTAAATTAAATAGAACAATTTTAGAGATAAAATCTCTTTCCACCCCCTCCTCTCTCTCTCTCTCTCTCTCTCTCTCTCTCTCTTTCTCTCTTTCTCTCTCTCCTCATCATCTACAACACACATGTTGTACCGTCTAGTATTTAATATTAACCTGTTGATAAATGTAACTTGTTACATTTTTTGTAACTAAAATTAAATTTTAACACTACATATGTGGTAGCGCTTTCAAGCTTTTATCGCTCTCTCTCTCTCTCTCTCTCTCTCTTTGACAATACGTAGAGATTAGCTCAAAACGCGAACATTCATCATCACCGATCGGCCGGCAAACGGGCAGAACAAGGCGAAGAACGAAGTGTGACCGAGTTGAAAAGGTATGGGGAGGCGAGAGGTGCAGAGAAAAGAAATGATTGCTCCTGCCGGCAGGGCGCTTGCGAAATGAACGCGGCGTGACTGCCGCTTTGAAACGGGGATGAATTGTAATTGGACGGAAATGGAATTCGGATAGTTCAGGACCAAATACGCAGAAAGAGACAGATCGCGGAGGAATAGAGAGAGAAGGAGGGAGAGAGGAAGGGAGATAGGAGAGGGCAGAATGGAGCGGAAAGGGTAAGCTGTGTGGTGGATAAGGGTAAGAGATAGGGCGAGAGAGAAAAAGAGAGAGAGAGGGGCGAGATAGCAAAGAGAGACAAGGAGAGAGAGAGAGAGACGGTCGACGCCAGTGGCCTGTAACTCTATGCCTCTGTGAGCTTCGATCAATAGAGGCGAACAACATTGCACCGAACGCCACCGAACGCTAAAACAGTTTATGCAACCTCCGCGAGCGATTTTCCGAAATTACCTCTTCGGAGGATGCGGCCGGTTTGCTCGAGCGGTTTTTTAGACCGAGTCGCGTTTGAAATTAAGCCCTCGCCGAAGAAAATTTTCTAGCTTCGTTAATTTTCGCATCGCACGCTGACCGGTGGTGCCCATTGAAGCGGGAGTTCCTTTTGCTTTTATATCAATTACACGAGAGTATAGATATTAATGGTTCGTACTATCTACCTTAAAGTTTTCCCTTTAAGTTTTACCTTCGAAAAAAAAAACCAAGCAACGTAGAATACCGATTGAAAAAAATTTTATTTAGTACATATATTTATTTTTTGTGGGAATTATGTTACTCCATTTATAACTCGAGCCTTTTTGGGAAAAAAAAAAAAAAGGGAATATATTCTCGTGATAATTCGAAATTATTTCTGC